TTTTAAAACATCATTTTTATATTTTAAAAATAATTTCTCATAATCCAAAGCCAACCCATTATATTCCTCTAATAACTCATCATAAGATAAATCATCAAAATCGGATGAGTTAGAGGTTACCTTAGAATCTTCCCCAAATGCAATCAAGCACAAGTTAGCTACTTCTTGTTCCTCTTCATCAGAACTTTCTTCATCGCTCCATGTAGCCACATGAGCCTTGTGCTTATTCTTTGATTGACCCTTTTTCTTCAATTGTGGGCAATCATATTTGACATGCCCTGGCTTTTTGCATTCGTAGCAAATGATTAGGTCTTTCTCTTTTGGTTCATTTTTTAGGCCTTCATTTCGTTTGAATTTTCTTCCTCGATAAGGTCTCATCATTTTTCTGAACCGTTTGGTAAACAATGCCATTTCCTCGTCATCGTCATCGTTATTCGAATCACTCTCATCTTTTGTGGATTTGAGAGCAACTCCAATTTTTTTCTTCTTCTCCTTCTCCTTTGGTGTCTCTTCAACTTTATCAAGGTCCACCTCATCTTCGAGCATCATCTCATGAGTGAGGAGTGAACCGATAAGTTCTTCAAGAGTTAAGGACGATAGGTCCTTAGACTCGATGATTGCCGTCTTCTTTGATTGCCATGATTTTGGGAGGGAGTAGACTAACTTCCTCACAAGCTTTTCATTTGAGATGATCTCTCCATATGATTTGAGACCATTGACAATCGTTGAAAATCTATCCGTCATAGCTTTGATGTCTTCATTTGGTTTCATCCTGAAATTTTCATAGCTATGCGTTAGAATACTAATTTTTGATTTCTTTACCTCATATGTACCTTCATGTGTGACTTGAAGCTTGTCCCATATTTCTTTGGCGGTTGTACACGATGAAACTCTTCCGTATTCATCTGGTCCAAGAGCACAAAAAATGATATGGATGGCTTTGGAGTTGAGCTGGAACATTCTTGTCTCTCCTTCACTCCACAAACTTGGATGAATGAGAGGTTTGATGTATCCTTCTTCTACAGCATTCCATGCTCCCATGTCACTTGCTTGAATGAAGTACATCATTCTATTCTTCCAATAGGCATAGTTAGCTCCATTGAAGAAAGGAAGCTTGTTGACGGGCATCGAGTCGAGACCGGAGTTGAAGTTTGAAGCGGAGGCCATTGATGACTTTGATTATCGATATAACTTTTCCCGAATCGACTCAAGAGGTGATTAAACCTTCAAATGAGTTAGGCTCTGATGCCAATTGTTGAGTTAATCGATTGACTGAATCGGCCAAGAGGGGGGTGAATTGGCAATAAAAAATTTGGTGGAAGCTTTTGCAGAAAATTGAAAGAAATTGCACAGCGATTTAGAGTGATTCGACTTTATCAACCAAAGTCTACGTCCACTACCTTAGCTATCCACACAAAGGATTTTCCAACAAATTCACTAATTTGTTCTTTCTTTTGAGGCCAAAGAGATAACCTTACAACTCCCTCAAGAATATACCTCAATTCTTGAGATCACTCTTTTCTCAAAGAGAAATACAAATTTGCAAACTTACAAGAAAAACCTCACAAGGAAAATATGTTTTCACAATTCTAGAACAAAGAAAGAACACTCAAGAATAAATACAATTGAGCACAATAAGTGTTCTTGAAAGAAAAATGAATATTGAATGAAAAATAGGCTTGAAATGCTCAAACTTGAGGTTTGATGCTTTCTCTTTGATTCTCTCTTGATTCTAATTGCTTGATGTTTCTTGTTATTGATCAATGGCTTCTAAGCTTGCTTAAATACACCTTGAATCACTTTTAAACGTTGGGGATGATTAGTGAAGATCATATAGTCGTTTTAGTGTGAAAACAATTAATAAAACAACTTGGAGCGTGGGGGGAATCGGTACCCCCTATGGGGGATCGGTTCCCTAAGTGTAAAATTCAAATATTTCGACCGTTATACAAGGGGGAATCGGTACCCCCTGAGGGGGAATCGGTTCCCTCCGAGCATACTGGAATTCTCGGAGCCAAACCATTCAGGGGGAATCGGTACCCCCTTAGGGGGGAATCGGTTCCCTCTGAGCAATCTGGAATTTTTGGCTTTGAAATGGTTCGAAATACTTTGTAAAATTATTTTGAAATTGTTTTAAGATTAAAACTTAATTTTTGATATTCGAATAATTATATCGAATATACTTAGAAAATCATTTGGAAAATCTTAAAATTCATTTAACTTAATTTGTTATATCGAAATATCAAAATGTTTTCAACAAGAGGCTATAAATATCCACTTGGGGGTAAACCTAAACTCATCACTTAGATTACAATTTTTCTCTCTCTAGTTTTATTAAAGCTTTCTCTTTTTACTTTTCAAGTTTTCATTTTATTTTCAAGATTTGTTTTTAATATGCCAAGTATGACTTTTGTCATGCTTAGTTAAGTTTTTCATAAGCCGAGAGTGTAGACACTCGTTTTTGTCTGGGTCGAAAATTATTATTATTATTATTAACTAATTTACATGTTTTATAGGATCATATTTTAACTTGATATTTGATTCAGGATTTTTACCATTACGTCAACGTGTAAGCGACACAGTACCAATTTTGGGCGTTGTGGGGTGCTAATCCTTCCCCATGCGTAACCGACTTCCGAACCCATTTTAATCAAATCTTTGGTAAACGCAGACCAATTTTTGTCTTTAAAAATGATTTTTCTTAAAATTGTTTTTTTTAAAAGACATTTTTAAGTATTCGACCTACCTAACCCAAAAGTTAATGACGACTCTATCCAATTTACTCCGAATTAATCCAAAATCACCGAATTTTTCAAATTAAAATCATAACTGTTTTTAAAAAACAATAAACAATTGTTATCTTAAAAAACGATTTAACCCGAGGTAATCCCCTCTACAGAGAAGCAACAGCCCTTTACAGAGAAGCCACAACAACGATTTAACCCGAGGTAATCCCCGATATTGATGGAGCATTCTCCGTATTGTAATCCCCGATATTGATGGAGCATTCTCCGTATTGTATTCCCCTCTCGAAAGACCAATCTCATACCATGTTCATATGCATTTTTAACAGTAAACCGCTTGTGCTTATTCCATCGCCAACCGGGCACATCCGAATAACTCAGCAATCGAGGTGGTTTTGCTGTCGCTAGGCGTAGCTCAGCAAGAGGAGTAAGCAAATTATGAAGCTCGCTCCATCTCCACTAGCCATCAGCATCGACCATCGAGTTAATTGATGTAAAACTCCCATTATCCTGATGGGGGTCAGTTTGCAGCGCTGCTAGCGGATCTAAGTCTCTCGACCACGCATCCTTATATAAGTCAACCGAGGAACCATCCCCCACAGTCCACACAATCCCATTTTTAATCTCATCCCAGACCGTACTTACTCCACACCAAAATCGAAAGTAGCCAGCCTTATGGATTAGATCAGGAACCATCTCAGACATATTGTACTTAGCTCTTAAAATCCTCACCCATAAAGCATGTTTATGAGATACTAATCGGAATGCCATCTTCATAATAAAAGCATCATTTTGGCGATGAAGATTATTGATTCATAGACCATAAGATTATTGATTCATAGACCATCGGCCATTGACGGAGTGCACACTTCCTCCCAACAAACAAGATGGACCCGACGACTATCCTCAGTACTACCCCATATGAAGGTACGAATGAGCAATTTCAACTCACCCATAGTCCCTTTCGGTAGATGACAAGTTTGCATGGGGTAAGACGGAATAGCTCCCAGAACCGATTTAGCTAAAACAATTTGCCCTGCTAAGGATCGGTTCTTTGCTTTCCATCTCGTCAGACAATCTCGAACTTTCTGCACAATGTATTGGTAAGTATTCTTGGTCACACGATTATGCAGTAACGTCACACCAAGGTACTTTCCAAGGTCCTCAACACGCAAGAATTGGAATTTATTTCTTACTCCAAAAGTAATTTCCTCTTTTACATTCTTTAAAAAATAGATATTTGTCTTGGCGGTGCTCACCTTATGACCGGAACTATGACAGAAATTAAGGAGAATTTGCTGGATCACCTCGAGCTAACTAAAAGTTACTTCGGCAAACAAGATTAAATCATCCGCAAAGAACAAATCGGACAAAGGGGGCAAATCTGACCCAATTTTATCGGACGCTAGATCCAACTTCCACTGCATGATTAATCGCCTGGGATAATCTCTCCATAAACAATACAAACAATAAGGCGATAACAGGTCATGCTGCCAGATTCCCCTAGTTGGCTTGAATTCTTCAGAAATAGTCCTGTTCCACAAGATTCGAGTGGTAGTCAAGGAAACGCTGTTCATGATTAATCGACGGAGCTCATCCCGGCACCTAACATCTTTTAATGTATCATCAATGAACGGCCACTCTAGCTGATCATAGGCTTTCTCAAGGTCAATCTTAATGGCCATCCAAGCTACCTTACCTCATTTTTCCCTCATCGAGTGCACCACTTCCTGAGCGGTAATAATATTGTCCGTGATATGGCGGCCCGGAACAAAGCTAGTTTGACTTTTTGAGATCCATTATGCAAGAACGGCTTCAATCTATTCACAATGGCCTTTTTAATCGTCTTGTTCAGCACTGTACATAGACTAATAGGACAAAACTATGCCATATTCTCTAGTGCATTCACTTTGGGGATAAGGACCACCAATATATTATTTATATCAAGCAGGATAGAGCCACTCGCAAAGCATTCTTGAACCAACCGACAAACACTTGGCCCCACAATATCCCAATTCTTTTGAAGAAAAAAAAAGAAAGTATCATAACCATCAACCCCCGGGGCTTTAGACAGCTGCATCTGAAAGACGACACTTTTTATTTCCTCATCTGTGGCCAAATCGGATAGTGAACTAAATGAGTCACTATTTATATGAGGAAACCGTCCATGAATATTATTGGAACAATATACATTCCCGGAGCTTTTGGAAAACTCCTTATAGTACTCAACAGCCATACTCCGGAGCCATCCTTGATCTAAGCACCAAGATCCATCCGCAAGCCAAAGTGATAAATAGTATTCCTCTGGCGCCGGGACCGAGAACAAGCATGAAAATAGGATGTATTCCGATCGCCTTGCAAAATCCAATTACTACTAGATTTTTTAAACCAAATATTCTCTTCATACTCCATCACTTGCTCCAGTTGCTTCTTGAGCCTATTCTCCAAATCATGGAGCGAGGGGTCATCACGCATAGACAAAACCCGATCAAGACCTCTAAGTCGAGCTATCAAATGTCGCTTATGTTGGCCAATATTCCCAAATTCCTTAGCATTCCAATTACTCAAAATCGGCTGCAAAGACTGAAGATTGATTCGCACATCCAAAGTATTATTCCAAGCCTTTCTTAAAACATCATTGAAAGCAGGATGATCATGCCAAGAAAGAAAGAAGCCAAAGATAAGATTCGGTCGCTGAGTACTTACAGTCTTGGTCTGAAGAATAATAGGCCAGTGATCAGAGCCAAGGCGATCAAGATGAAGAACAAACGAGTCCGGGAAAGCATTCGCCCAGCCCACATTCACTAAGCACCTATCCAGTTGCTGTCTAAGAGATCCTCTCGCCCATGTGAAAGGAAGACCGTTAAATCCAATGTCGACTAAGCTGTTATTAAACACAAAAATCACTGAAGCCTTTACTAACTCTGATACGCCCATTTGCACCCCACTTCGCTCATCCGCGCTGAGGAGTGCGTTAAAGTCACCCCCAAGCACCCACGACCAATCCTCGCCCGGATCAAGCGTAGCTAATTGAGGCCAAAGCTCATTGTGAATCGCAATATGAGGACTTGCATACACAATGGTAATATACGTCGGAGAAATAAGGTATCCGTACAAACTCGGACGTGAAGATACTGATTCAATAAAAAGATAAGATCCACAGTCACTCCAGGTTTCCATAAGAGCCAAATCCCACCACTGAATCCTTGAGCCCCTATGAGGAACGAATTAGGAATGCCCATTCTCTTAACTACATTATCCGTTTTCCGTCCACTTACACGTATTTCCAGCAGGCCAACAACCAACGGTTTAAACTTCGCCATAAACTTCTTAAAATACCGTAAATACAAGGGGCTAGCCACCCCTAGGCTACTCCAAAAAAGACATCTAATCATCATAAAGAATATAAGAAAGAAGGAGGAAACAACAGCTAACCAGACCTCCGGTAAGTCTGATGGCCTTCAATGACAATGTTCTCATCTCCCGGCACGCCCTCCTCCCCACTTGTCTTCGGGCCTTGAATATTATTAAATATTATCGAAGTCGACTGCGTCCATTCTACTAGCAGTGGTTGACTCAAAGGTTTATAGGTTATTTTTAATACCTTAAACCACTACGACACACAGTCGACCGATTAGAATATCATACGGAACCACCTGAGTGACTAACTAAAAATTTCTTTAATTGCTTAATTAAAATGGTTTCTTGAAAATACTCATAACAAATAAATCAACCGTAATATATAAAATAGTTTACATTAGGAGCTCCCAAATTAGATAAATCAAAATATACAAACCATTGTTTAAAATAAGTTACGAATCGAATATAGAAAAGGGGTTTACAAATATACAGGTCCTCTAAAGGAATAATCTCGAGAAGTACTATGCACACAACTCGATATGGATCACTGCTACTCAAAAGCTCCTGGACTGCTCCTCTAACATGCGTAAGAAAACAAATTTCAAACGCTGAGCTAACTAGCCCAGTGTCACACTAATAAATAAGTCATACTAAAAGTGTTCACTAAATGATCAAGTGAATAGGTAAAATATAATAGTGAGTATACTCGTATACTCCACTCTCTACTATATGGTAGACACCATGGTGCGGTTGAGGGTTCTACATTTCGGAGCTCACAGACCCCTCTAATCTACCGAGGATGAGGCCTGGAATATCTACATCGGACACAGCACCCTCGACTAACCCACCCCTCGCGATTGTCGGGCCTTGGCCCTAGTTAGTCGGTTAAAAGTTCCTCGTGCACTGCCTAATGATATTCGGGCTGATTCTATTTCTTGATACTAATATCATTTCTAAAGTAACCTAGGTGTCCTAATCGTTTCCCTAGTATTCAAACAAAGCTAGTTTTATGTCAACTCAATTGATCTCGTTTATAATGTGACTAAGAAAATATTATTTTTGCCACTTGAAGTTTTATTTGAGAGTATTTAGAGACTTTGGGAACCTCATGTGCCTCTTAAAATCTCTTGGTTATAAAAACCCAAACCAATAACTGGTATCGATATTGTCCTTACAATATCGATACCTTCTCTTAAGTATCGATAATTCTCCCAAGGTATCGATACCCCAGTGCTAATTTCCTCTTGAAAGAAAAGGGGAAGTATAGATACCCCTATAGGGAGTATCGATACTCATCCCTTGGTATCGATACCCCTATAGGGAGTATCGATACTCATCCCTTGGTATCGATACTCCATAGAGTCCATATACAAAAAATGTACACTGAAAAAATGGCTTTAATACCAAGTCCCCTGATCTTGATACCGGAACCCTAATATCGATAACCCTTCAATGAGTATCGATACTACCCTCATAAACTCCTTGAATTTTAAGTCTACCTTAAGAACAATATCGGTATTGTTCCTCCAGTACCTATACTAGCCCTCGAAAATTCCCTATTTGGGCACTCAAACTCACCCATATTACCATTTTGATGTTCTCAATCGTTATTAGTGTTTTATGTAATCATAAAGAGACATAAATAAAACTTTAAATCATAGTAAAAGCCTAAAACATGGAATCTACCATGAAAACACTCATTATGCATTAAACTCAACTCTTGTGTTATCTTGCATTTATAATGACCCACAAAAGGTATGAAGGAGTTGTAAATGTATTGCCTTGAATTCTTGGCTTCTAGAAAAACCCTAAAATCACCCAAGGGATAAATTCTCTTTTTCTCTTGCTCTTGTGCTTTCTCTCACTTCATACAATAATCAAAGGAAATAAAAAGAATTACTAGCTTGACTAGGTGGTTGGATTAATGTTAAAAACACTTTCTTTAACTTGAATCTACTAAAAAAGAGCTAGAATCCATATACTCTCTTAAACCTCCCAAAAAACCCATTTTTGGAAACTAAGTGTAAAACTTGAGAAATGGGGATAAATTGAAGCTCTTGGATTGAAGGTTTCGATGCTTACCTTAACTAAGTTCAATTAGGATGAAAAGGAAAATTAGAAAGATAACATGAAAGAAAGAGTGTTTGGTGAGTGTTTAGGGGGGAGTGATTCACGTAAATCTCATAAAAATATGGGGTTTTTAGCATTTGATTTAAGAAATAGTAAATTGCACTTTTGGTCCCTCATCTTTATATTTCATGAAATGCTCACACCCCTCTATAACTCTTGGGCCCAAACTCAAGCCCACTAACACTAAACTTGGTCCAACTATTCTAATAAGTCATTTGGGCTCTAATTATAGGTCTCGGGTTGACCCAAACTATTGACTTAGGATTCGAGGCGTTACAACTATCCCCTCATAATAAGAAATTGCGTCCTCAAAATTTATCTAGATAGAAGAAATGTAGATATTAGAGTTGCATGTCTTCCTTGGTTTCCTAAGTAGCTTTCTTGACCCCGTGATTTCTCCACAACACCTTCACTAAAGGGATTCTCTTGTTCATTAGCTCTTTCACCTCCTCAACTAAAATTCATATTAGTTCATTTTCGTAGGTCATGTCAGGGCTCAACTCGACTTGCTCTAAGGATGGAACATGTGATGGGTCAGAACGATACCTTCGAAGCATGGACACATGAAACACATTATGAATGCGCTCCAACTCTGGGGGTAAGTCTAAACAGTAGGCTACCAGTCCAATTATCTTAAGCACCTCATAAGAACCGATGAAATGTGGGGTCAACTTCCTTTTCGTCCAAATCGAAATACCTTCTTCCACGAAGACACCTTAAGTCAATTTCTTGACCTCTGCCTATCCGATGCCTCCTTCAGTATACACTGAATTATCTTGACCTTCTATTTAGTTTCTCTGATAAAATCTGGTCCCATTATTTTCCCCTCACTAAGCTCAATCCAGCAAATAGGAGTTATACACTTGTGCTCATACAGAGTATCGTAAGGGGCCATTTGGATGCTCGATTGATAATTATTGTTGTATGCGAACTCCATTAAAGGCATGTGATCTTCCCAACTACCTTAAAGATCAATAATGACACACATAAGCATATCCTCGAGAACCTGAATAACGAGCTCGGACTGACCGTCTGTCTGATGATGAAATGTGATGTTAACTTAGGGAATCATGAAAAGCTTTCCAAAACCGAGAGGTGAACCTAGGGAATCTATCTGAAATGATTGAAGTCGAGACACTATGAAATATCACTATCTCGTAGATATAGAACTTCACTAATCTCTCCAAGCTGAATTCCTTCCTAACCGGAAAGAAGTGAGCGGACTTGGTCAATCGATCTACTACCACCCAAACTACGTCATCCTTGTATCTCGTCATCGATAACCTGGTCACGAAATCCATAGTTATTATTTCCCACTTCCACTGCAGTATCTGAATCAGCTAGAGTAACCTCGAGGGAACCTGATGTTCCTCCTTAACCGTTGGCATACCAGATAGGGGTGAGCAAAACTCGACTATACTCGAAAAATCGATTTTTTTTCAATTTTGAGTTATTCAAGTTGAGTTATTCGAGTCAACTCGAACTATAAATTCAGTTTTTAAGTTTGAGTCGAGTTAAAATTTTGAATTTTTGAGCTACTCGAAAAACAAAAAAATTGACTAAGTATATTGACAATTTTGCGATTTAGTCCCTGGTTTCATTATTTCTTCAATTCCTCCTTCATTTTAAGTCCATTTTTTTTACCAAACTTTAATCACATGCTCCTAAAACATTGTAGAATACATATATACTTTCAATTCCTCTTTCTTGATAATAATTTTTATTTTTCAATTTAGTCCTTAAATTTTCCATAATCTCCTTGTTTCTTTAATTCGTCATTTATTTTAAGTCATTTTTTTACCAAATTTGAGTCACATGGTCCTAAACCATAATAGAATACACATGTACTTTCAACTCATCTTTTTTATAACAAAATTTTTATTTTTCAATTTAGCCCTTCAATTTTTCATAATCTCTTTATTTCTTCAATTCGTCATTTATTTTAAGTCAGTTTTATCAAATTTGAGCCACATTCTCCTAAACCATAGTATAATACATGTGTAATTTCAAATCCTCTTTTTGATAAAAAAAAATGTTTTATTTTTCAATTTAGTCCTTTAACTTTTCATAATCTCTTTATTCCTTCAATTTGCCATTTATTTTAAGTTTGTTTTTACCAAATTTAAACTACATGCTCATATACCACAATAAAATATCTATGTAGCTTCAATTGTTATTTTTTACTAAAGATGTACTCTCTTTTTTTATTTAGTCCCTTAACTTTGTATTTTATTGAATTTGGTCTTTTGACTACAATTGTTTGCAAAAAAATTTCTTATCGTTAATTCCTTGACTCATTCATATTCTCATCAATATTTTACCCTCAAAATACTTTCTTTAAAATAAAATATTATGAATATATTTCATAGATTATTGTATTTGTATATAAATGACATATATATATATATATATGGTTAGATAAAGTCAAAAAATATGAACAAATCATTGTCGTAATACTATAAATAATTATAATAAAATTAATATATAAACTCAAATATCTCGACTTGAATAACTCGATAACTCGACTCGAATTTCTTAAAAGCAACCTGACTAAAAAATTTAAAGTTAAGTTCGAGTTGTAAAATACGAATCGTTAACTCGAATAACTCGAATTTTTTTACTCGACTCAATCGAATGCTCACCCCTAATACCAGACATTTCATCACAAACTCGGAAACTTCTCTCTTCATGCCCGACCAAAAATAAAAAGGTCAAAGTTCTTGGTACATCTTGTTGCTAAACAACCCCTAAATAACAATACATCACCATCTCGCAATTCGAACCCTGGGGCCTTACCTCGGTGGACTTGCTCCATGTGAGCCCTTAAACGATT